TTGCCACTGACTACAATCAGCCGGGTGTGCAATCTTATCATCATCCACCTTGCGCTCATCATCACACCATGTCATGAGTGCGGCTTCTTTAGGGTTTAGGAAGATACGTCTCAAGCGGTCGGTCACTGGCAGGTACCACATTACCAAGGCAGGAATTCTTCTCTACTTCGCATCATTGCCTAATGGAGTGTCCTCTAAGGGCTGAGATTCTTGTACCACCTTTTTTGTACCCTTCTTATTCCTCTTTTTCCCCATGGAGGCTTCGTCCCCACCGTAAAGATCATTGTTCTTGTATCAGCTGGCCCCACACCGGGGACATTTATCCAGTGACTTGAACGTTTCGCCACGAAAAGTATACTGTGGTTGGGGCATGCATGAATTTTTTCAACCCCATTGTCAATGGACTTATAACCTTCTTCGCTTGGTATGTGTTGGTGGGAACTGAGTTTGATTATGGCAGCACCCATGACAGAAGATGCAATAGATCATTGAAACTACAGTCTGACCAGCCGTACTTAGCCTTCAGGATGAGCAGCTCAAGCACAAAACGTAGCAATGTCTAATGTGTCGGACAACCCTTTTCAACACCATACACAGTCTCCTTCGATGCTTTTGTCACCCTTTCCAAATTTTCTAGACCTTTCGGGCTATTTAGTAAAATCTCTGGTCCAAGGGCTCGAATCATATCCTTTAAATCATCTTTATCCCCAACACGTGCTCCACCATCATTATTGGCACCACCTTCGTCGTTACCATCCCAACCACCAGCATCACCACCTTATTCATTGCTAAACTCGAAATCCATTCGTGCATCAAGCTCTGCTGGATATTGGGATAGGGATTCTATGGTTTCGTCGTCGTATTCTTCCTCATCCTCGTCGTCAACAATAACCGTTTCACCATGATGAATCCACACTGTGTAGTCCTCAATAAATCCTCGCATAATCAAATATGATCTGATGATAGTCACATCTGTCCACGCCATAGGGTTCTTGCAATCTTTACAGGGGCAAATAATTATATCCTTATTCTCTTTCAATATCATTACATGCTTCTTTGCGGCATCAATAAATTTATCCACCTCTTCACGGAAACCTGCCTTGAACCTTAATGAACCATACATCCAAGAGTTCCTGTACTCCATCTTTTACAACAACAACAAAACAAACATTAAAGGACTACTTATTCAGATATATATAAAAATGAATCAAATTAATAATTACTTGAGAATAATTGTATATACTTCAGATATATATGAATATAAATCAAATATAATTACATGAAGCATACAAACACACCATGGTAGAGGGAAATTAATTAATGGCCTATTTATCCATAAATAATTAAAATACATATTTATTGATTACAATAAACAATTTCAAAGACAACAATTAGCAACAATTATATTTTACCCAATATCTTTCATACAAACCCTAGTCTAATTTTATCAAACATAAATTTACAAAAATGAAATTAATAAAAAAACCAAACCCTAGATCTAGATCTACATGCACATGAAACATCCATAAAATTAACTAATTGTTCAGTAAAATCAAGAAACATGGACTAAATAAGGGTATGATCTTGTTCCCCTATCTAATTTAGCCTAGTACATTCTAAACTTGGGTCTAATTTGCTTCCTAAGTAGCTCAAGCACCATAGAAGAGAGAGAAAACAAAACTCTAATTACTCACTAACCAACCATTAAAACTTCAAAAAAATGTGGAATAGCATTTTCTTACCTTCTACAACCTCTCCACCAAAGGATTTGAGACCAAAACCTTCCCCCTATAGTAGAGCAATTTTTGGGAGGAGCCCAAGGCCTCCCCACCATTCTTTGATGGGTTAGACTGAGTGACCCAAGGAGGAAGAAGGTGTTGTAGCTTTTTTATATGTGGGTCATTTGTAGGGGCGGCTGGTGACTGAGCCGCCCCTACAAATAGCAGGTAATTATACGCGGGACATTTATAGGGGCGGTTCAATCACCAGCCGCCCCTACAAATAGAAACATCGGGGGCAGCTGGTGAGTGAGCCGCCTCTGCAAATCAGACCCGTTTTAAGGGGCGGCTCGTGTCACCAGCCGCCCTTGTTGTTCCATTTGTAGGGGCGGCTGGTCTCTGGGCTCTCGAGAACGCCACTGTAAGGGCGGCTCCATCATGGGCCGTCCCTACAAAAAAATTGTCCCGTTGCTATAAACCGTTTTTCACGTAGTGGCTGAAGGCCAAACATGACCCCCAGGCAATATTGTCACCGGGTCAAAAGATTTTCCCCTCCCAAGGAGATGCACTAGGCGTCGCGCATGTGTAGCGTAGTTTTTTTTCTAAAGTCCTAAAGTTTAAAGGGGTCAGAAAATGGTTGCACATAGAATGTACACGATAGGTGTTTTATAGTTATATAGATCGAGCCCCATCTGCAAATAATGTTTTTTTGAGTTGTTGGAGGAGTTGATAGGTCGTAATATGGCTAGAGGGGGTTGAATAGCCTATTAAAATCAACAAGATCACTAGAGCAATTTGATTAGTATGACAGACGACGTAATGTAATTTTGCTCTAGCTCTACAAGGGTTGCAAGCCACCTATCCCAACAATTCTAGTAGCTATGATCACTAGCACACACAACAAGCTAAGTCACTACTCACTAAGCTAGTGTGCCCTCAAAGACTAACTAAAAAGCCACACTAACCAAACTAACAAGCTCTCAAAGACTAACTACACTAAAGAGCTTGACAACTAGTTTGCAAGAAATGTAAAGGAGTGAGTAAGGTGATTACACCGCCATGTCGAGGAATGAACCAATCACAATGTGGAGACAACCAATCACTAGGAGAAATCCAATCACACAAGAGACACAAGATTTTTCTCCCGAGATTCACGTGCTTATCGGCACGCTAGTCCCTGTTGTGTCGACCAACACTTGGTGGTTTGGCGGCCAAGAGGTGTTGCACGAACCTCGTCCACACAATTGGACACCGCAAAAATCTACCCACAAGTGAGGTAACTCAATGACACGAGCAATTTATTAGAGCTACCTTGCGGCGCTTTGCCGGGGAAGGTGCAAGGCCCCTCACAATCACCGGAGCCAGCCATGAACATTCACCAACACGTGCCGAAGCTCCTCCGCTGCTCCAAGCCATCTAGGTGGCAGCAACCACCAAGAGAAACAAAAAATCCGCAGCCACAACAATCCCCTAGTGCCACTAGATACAATCACTCAAGCAAATACATTTGGAATCACTCCTAATCTCACTATGATGATGAATCAATGACGGAGATGAGTAGGAGGTGTTTGCCTAGGCTCATAAGGATGTCAAGTATGTTAAAGTGCCAAGAGAGTGAGTCCCAAGCCGACCAAACACTATTTATAGAGCCCCTCAAACGAATAGAACCGTTAGGGTCAAGGGAGGGTGCTCTGCGTACTGACCGGACACGTCGGAGGGTGCTCTGCGTACTGACCGGACACGTCGGTCAGGTTGACTGGACGCGCCCACACCAGTGTCCAGTCAAGGATCTGTCGCCACATGTCATGGCCTTTGAATACCATGCGTTGTATCTCAACGGTCGAAAACAATCAGCGCTCAAGACAAGTGATGATCGGACTCGCTGTTCAAACTGACCTGACGTAGCTCAACGTAGAGTCCGGTCAAGTCCAGTAAGGATCCAGAGAAGAATTTCTCTAACCGGACGCGTCCGCTCAAAGACGACCAGACGCACCCGCGCGTCCAGTCAGTGCACCACTCCTACACGCGCTCGCTCGAGGCTAACGTCAGCGTACGTCAGTACGCACCTGACGCGAGCCCTGCGCGTCCGTTTGCGCCAACACGCCGCCTATCAACAAGTGATCGGACACGCCGATCGAGGCAGGACCAGCATCCGGTCGTTCTTCTACATTCTCGGCCAACTCAGTGCCGCCCGCTATAATTGACCGGACTCAGGGTCCAACGTCCGGTTAGACCGACACCACCATCCGGTCAACATCCTTCGCCTCCTTTTCATTTTCTAAGTCCGCAACCACTTCGCCCTTGCTTCCAACTTGCTAACCACAGAGTGTAGAACTTGTGTGCACGTGTGTTATCATTTTCAAAACATTTTATAAGGGTCAAAGTTAGCACACTAGGTTCCTAAATACATATGCAAGAACAATGCCACCTAGTGGCACTCGATAACCGCTTAGCCAAATATTTCACCTCTTTATAGTACGGCTATCGATCATAAACGTGATCACACTCTTTATAGTGTCTTGATCACTAAAAACAAAATCTATCTTATACCTTTGCCTTGATCACCTTGGTTTTGTTTTTATCTTTCTTCTTTTTCAAGTTAGAGCTTGATCATCTTCATTTCATGTCCACCTTCATCACCATGGACCTCATCAAGCTCCATCATTTGGATTGGACCACCTTATCTAATTCACACACTTAGATCAAAGGTTAGTCCTAGATTTCATCAATTATTCAAAACCAAACTAGTGCTTTCAGGAGTCAGTATATTGCATAGTGACTTGAACATGTTTCCTTCCTTATCTCTTTTAGATCATAGTTACAGAAACCTGCGAACGGGAATACCGATTTGAATAGCAGAGGCATTTCTCTAGGCATTGTAGTGTGATTATGCACTCAATTTTTAAGTCAACCTTGTCCTTAACTAATGGTGTTTCTTTATTACATTATTTAATTAGTATCTACAGATGTATAAATGTATCATACTAATAGTAATATACAATGAATGGAAACAACAACAATACAAAACGCACTACACAAACCACCAGAATTCCATACACGATTTCCACCCGACATCCCTTCTTTTAAAGTAATGCTTTATAAATTTGAATATTTTTTTCTGAGACGAGAGAGATAGCCCCTAATGAGATTTTATTAAAAACTCAGGAATAAAGAAAATAAGATTACAAAAGAGCTTGTAGCACTACAATCAGGGTACTTCTCTTCATTATACATATGAATCGAGCATGAGCTAACGTATCACCTTTGCTTGCATATATTGTACTAGTTTTCTTCGCCATTGGCCTTCGCTGTGAGGGGACGCGCTTGGAGCCCGCCACCGAGCCTCGCCTCTAGCACGTAAGGCATATGCGTCCCGAAGACCTTGTCCCATGTCACAAAGAATGGCTGCGAAAAATTGAACCTGCTGCCACGCAGCTGGTGGTGAACATCGTGGTACGCCGTGTTGTTCCAGAAGCAGAGATGGAACAAATTTCCCGGCAGCCACAGGCCACAGTGGTCATCCACGCCCTTGATGGTGCAGAGCGAGAAGAAGAAGATGGATGCACGCGGTGACATGCCCGAGACGATGAAGGCTAGTGCCCCGCCGAGTGTATCAAGCAGGAGGCCCTCAATGGGGTGGTTGTATTGTGAGCCGAATGCGTAGGGCACCACGAGACGGTGGTGCCACGAGTGGATGTGCCGGTACAAGAACCGGTTCAGGTGCATGTACCTATGCCATGCGTACTGCCACCCATCTAGCACAATCATGGCCACCGCGAACTGCCGTGCCACCGTCAGGTAGGAGTATGATGATGATCCTTGTGCTTCCTCATCGTATGCCATTGTTGAGCTGCTATCTCCCGTGTGCTGCATTTGTTATACAAAAACTTCATAGTCATGTGCAACCATGCATATATGTAGGAGTAAGGAGAGTGGTCTAATGTACGTACCGTGAACACAACGGCAGCCACTCCTGCCTGCACTAGCTGCTGCAGGAGGACGCCCTTAATGACTTCCCGCTTGGACACCAGGTTCTTGCTGTTCTCCTCCTTCCTCGGATGCAGCCTGTACTTGTCCATGGACTGGCCAAGCGCCATGTACATGCCTGAGTATACCCAGTACACCACGATGGGCACAAAAATGGCCAATGCTTCGTCAGAGAAGAACTCCATGGATGCGAACGTACAACGCAGTTGTGTGGCTATCGAATGAAGCTATCCAATGAATCTTAATTATCAGCTAGGTAAGCAGCTTTTGCATCTACTGCATGCATGGTCGCAACAAACACCAGAGGCTTGTTTAAATACAGCTCGCTGGGAATATTCTGTTTGAAGAGCCCTTAAGCCAATACTTCCGAAGATTCATTGAAATCAAAGCTCAAGTATCAAATGCCCCAAACGACATTATTATCGTAACAACAATTAAGGGGTTTCCCGTGGGTCATCAGTTTTGAAATGGAGTCGCCATCAGTTTCGTATCCCTATCTGTGGTCGTGGGCCCGGGGGGGGGGGGGGGGTTAAAGTTCTCTCTCTAGGAATATTTTTGTCCGGGTCGGATAAACCATATGTATGCATCTGTGCATGGCTGAAGAAAACGCCAGACTTTGTCTAGCAATCGATCGATACAGTCACCATGGTCAGCTTTCTACCCTGATTTCTGACCGGTGTTAACTTTTACTCCTTGTAGTGTACATACACATGAGGCGTCGTTTCATGCATCTCCCTGGTCGAGTCCGGGGCTTGTCAGGATTCGGTAATACTACAGTAAAAGAGCAGCTGCAAATGCATGCATGCTCTCTTCATGGAAGATACGCGCAATAGGATTTGCCACGCACATGAAACAACATGCATGAAAGATGACAAACTAGTATAGTACCTAATCATGCGTACCACTTACACGTAATGTTTGTCTAGCTAGTTAAGGAGAATTCGAGTCACGGGGTGCTGTTAGGACGGCCGCCACACATAATATTTCTAGAGACATTCACAAATGATTTTCGGAGACGGTTTTCCCAACCGCCTTTAACCAAGAGTCTTTAATTAGAAATTTATTTCTTAAACAACCGTCACCCCTGAAATTGATTCCTAGAGATAGTTATTCTGAGAAATCAGAATGATAAAATGGCCCTAAAAATAGCAAAAATAAAAAATACAAGATAATAAAATCTATGGTACCAAATAAATACATTATAAAAATATATTTTATGATGTGTCTTGTTATACCAATTTGGTGTGTCTTAAATATTAATGCTATTTTCTAAAAAGTTGGTTAAATTTAAAATAGTTTGACCGAGGACAATTTCTAGAGGTTGATTTAATTTGGGGTACGTGGATGGGATATCATGATTGCACCCACCTTTTTTATATATAGCACCCGTTTTTAACACCAAATAAACGATGGGCCTTGCTAAGGTACAACCATTACCTCATAGGAGGTAAGATCTCAAACAAAACTTAGCCCTTGATTTTTGAAGTGCATATAATAATTAAGTAATTATTAATTAATTAAAATGTTTAGAAAACAGATAATATAAAAGGCAGCAAACCAACAAATGTATACAAGATATTTGCTATTCAAGAACAGCTTGTTTCTTGCCATAAACCGGTGCCCGTGTACAGCATGCAACAACGCATATACGGGGATTAATGTCAAAAACTAATGATTGATAGTAGAATTTTCCGTTACCAACATACATTTGCAAAATACTAAGTCATAAAAATACTAATGTTGGGATTATGAAAATAAATAAATAAATAAATCATTCAAATACCAATACGTTCAGAAAAGAGGGAATAATGTGCATTTTTTGTTGGGGATTCCCTAGAATAAAACGTCGCATCTTCCTTCAATTCCTTGTGCGGGATATCCAATCAATTAGAATTCAGGTTAAAGAGGGTCTTTATCCTCGTCGTATCCTTTATATGGAAATCTGGAGCCAGGGGGTCATTCCCTTGAGTCGTACTGATGAGAAGTTTTTTACTCCACAAGAAATTGAACAAGACTGATGTTGTCATTATCAACACTTTCATGTTATAATTTTTTTTGAAAGATCCGGTTGCCCGGCGTATATTAATAAGCAAGAAACAGAGTTTCAACATGCTTACGCGAGAGGCGCCATCCCATGTGGCAGACCGCCACATGAGATGTTTAGGAGATTACGCTAATTACTCCCAAAGTTTGGAGCAATTCTAAGGTAGCTAAGTACCCTACACCCAATCAGCGCACTTGTCCCTGGTCCTTGTAAACACAGCTTGCTCAACACTCCTATTTCCGTTGAACACTCTGGCATTTCTTTCCTTCCAGATGTGCCAAGTAGTCAGTATTGCCAGAAAGTGTGCCGCCTTCGTTCCATCGTTAGTCATTGCCATAAACCACTCTTCCATGTCGTGGTGGTCGGTCGAGCTGGAAGGTTGAAGGTTTGTACAGTTGCTCCATGTTGCCACCAGGGTCCATACTCTTCTCGCGTAGGGGCATTCTATGAAGAGGTGGACCGCAGTTTCTAGGTTCCTTTCACAAAGCGCGCAGAAGTAGTTATTTTTCCGTCCCCTTAATTGGAGTCTAGCTGCTGTCCAAACCCGGTCTTGTAGGAGTAGCCATATGAAGAATTTGCAACGTGGCGTAGCCCACGCCTTCCAAATGAGGTTTGGAAAATTGGAGATCACCTGGCCACTGAACTGAACTTCATATGCCGACTTTGCAGTATACTCTCCTAAGCTGTCGAGAGTCCAGACGATCTGATCCTCCTGCTCATTTGTAGGGTCCGGGTGTAATGACGTTATAATTTAAATAAATAACTAAAATGCACCTCTACTTTTGTCACATTTGTAGAAAAAATACAGCTCATGTTTAGATACAACTAACCTTGACATAAATTACATATGCACATAGATCAATTAATTAAAAAAAGATCACATGTCACGTTAAGGATCAACCATACTTACTTAAAAAAGAAAAGAAACGAACCATACAAACGCAGGCTTCATGCGGTTGCATGCATGTTAGATCCAATTGATAGATATTTTACCTAAAATTTTGCTTACTTTCCTGTTTTTCAAAATAATAAAATATATTTATTCTATTACCTCTTAAGAGGTAATATCTGATTATAGCCAGCCAAATCGACAGTCCACAGTTACTTGAGGGTACCATAGCAAAACCCATAATCGATTGTCGTAGAATCTGCAACATGTGGGAAGGGAACGTGTGGAAGGAAATGGATAGAGAACGAAGTGTTCATGCACTCTGGTGTTCATATTCGAAGGGGGGAGGTAAACGTGGCCGCCGGTCGCTCAAGTGCTGGACAGGCGCTGTCGTCGTCCGTGAAGGCTGCTGCATCTGGTTGAATCAAACACTAGCAGACTAGCTAGATTTTTTTGTTGCCTTGCCTTGTAGGATCGGAGTACTCAGCTTCACTGGGTAGCTAGTGCTCTTTAGTTACCCACAAATGATAAATGATAAATTAAGGAGAGAGCTCTTTAGTAAGTACTCCCTCTGTTCCAAATTATAATTAAGTTGTTTTGATTTTCTTTGTACATCTATTTGCTATGCATCTAGATTTTAGATAAATAATATGTGTAGATACATAGCAAAATAGATAAACCAAAAAAATCTATGTGACTTATAATTTAGAATGGAGAGAGTATATGATTGCATACTTACTTAAGATGAACATCATTATTTAGCTATTAAATGATAAATGATTGGTAGAGCTCTTTAGTTACCTGATCCTAGTGTAGTGCAACAAATGAAACCTAATTAAGGTGATGTTTGTTGCAAATTAAGTATACATGATTGCATGAGGGGCTTTTTCCTTTTTCTTTGGCATTGAACCACATACTGTGTGAATGTATATAACGTAGTTAGGCCCCGTTTGGGACGGCTCACATCGACTCCGGCTTATCTGACACCAACATTGTAGCAACACTGTAGCACGAAGCCGATTTTCTCTCTCCACCTTTTTTGTCTCACTGTAGCGATCGACTGTAGCATGCGGGGGCAAGCCAGAAAAACCGGCTTCTCCAGCTCTGATGAACAGTGCACGCATCAGTGAGAGGGGGAGAGGAAGAGGGAGGAAACTTGCTTCGTGCTACAGTGTTGGTGTGAGCCGTCCCAAACGGGCCTTAGTATAGCACTATATATATATACTGTAGCAGTAATAGTAAGTTGTTGCACTGGACAATCGTTTCCAAACATCAAGACATGCACTGGTTGTCCCACATTCCCATATAGTAGCTGACATGCATGATAAAAGGGAATGTTTGTCACGAAAAGTGAGGGTAGGTCTGTGGGATACATGGCAGCAAGTAGCTAGACCCTATTCCAACCTCAGCCAAGTAGCAGCTGACATACACATATGTAACAGCGAGAAAAATGCATGCCAAAACCACAGACACGACAACCAATCAACAGCTAGTATCATATAGAAGGTTTCAGTGTTGTTTCTCCTCGATCAATATCCTCAACATTTTTATTAGCTCCGAATGATTCAGTACATATATATAACTACTAATACAAATTAATTAAGGAACAAATAAAGTTACATAGCATATAGTGGCTTGAATATATAGTTAGCCACGCGCAACAACTGGATATATAAAGGGTGAAATTAACAGGCTCCCTCTTATAGCAAATTAAATCCTGGCCGGTACTAATTAATACTTACTGGCTAGCGAGAGTTTTTCGCCTATTATTCTTCCTTCGACATGTGATCACTCTATCTCTCCTGGCGATCATCTCCTTCCTCTTCCTCAACGACACAAAATCAAAACAAGAAAACGCAAGCGATATGAATGAAGATATGATAGAGGTAGCTATAGGGTACTTAGGGCATAATAATCAGGTTGCACTCATGCATGCATCTCGGTGGCTACTAGTGATCGATTTCTCAGCAGCCAGCTAGCTAGAAGCCATGGCTAGCTGCGGACGAGCAAGCCCACAGGACAGGGTCATGAGCAGCATGGCGGCGTCAGTGATCTCGTCAGCCGGGAAGGCATGAAACGACGACATCGCCTGGGGAGGAGTGGCGACGATCTTGCTCTGAAGACTCGTCGCGGCATGGCCATTAACCTGCTTGTCACTGGAGACGTGATGATCCAATTGATCCTTGGTCGGAGCAGCGGTTTCTGGCGTCGTCGTCGTCGCTTCAGTGGCTGCACCACCAGCAGCATGATCGACAACTACCATCTTGCACCGCTTCTTGAACGGCAGAGACGACCGGTCGACGTCCGACCTCTTCTCCTTCTTGGCCGGCTTCGGCTGCTGGGTGGCCGCTTGTGGAGCGCCTCCGTCGCTGGCAGCAGCTGCCGCGGCGGCCGCCATCGCCCGCCTCGCCTTCCTTTGCCTTATGCCACATGCGTTGCAAAGAGACTGCACCATGCAAAGGGCACAACACAACACACATTAACAAGAGGAAAATAAACACGCTAGCTCATGAATGTGTTATATGTGATACTAGGTTGCAAAAATGTAACAACTTGTGCTGAGAACCTCAAACGAGCACAGATCAGGGCTTTTTATTTCCCAATTGCATTGGTAATTCACCTTGGGGCCACAAGGACCACTCCTCCACAAGGGGGTCTTTGTGGTGTTGCAGTCGGAGCACACTCTAACGACACCCATAGCCTGCTGCTGATGCTGCAGTAGCTGGCTGTCATCTTGGTGCGCTTGTGGTCTTCTCCTTGGCTTTCTTGCTGCCCCACCACCGCCCTCGGGATACTCGCTCGTTGCCTTCCTCCGCATGATCTTCATCTTTGCTGCTGGCGGTGACGACGACACTGTCCAGCCGCCGCTGCGCAATCCTTCGATGTGCTTATTATTCTCTATATCATATGGATCATATGCAGATCGCTGGATCATGTCACCATCGATGCTTTGGATAGTCTGCCGGAACGGCGATGGCCTAGTAGGGAAGACTTCTGATCGGTTCATCATCATCCGATCGGTGAACTGACAGAATAAAAATGACAACGAACAAATTAAATATATTATTATGCATGCTAAGATATAAATTTATAGTAGCTTTCCTTGGATGCTACACACATCTGCATCTATATATACTCTATAACAAAGTTGTGATCCGGCCCCTAACCTGTTGAGTAGATTCAGACAAAACATGCTGCTGCCTCAAGTGCTGATCTCCATAGCTGCTTTGCCCTTGGAGCTGATCCACAGGGTTGGTGATCATGAACGGGAACAAGATGGGAGGGTCCTTTCGGACATGGAAGGGCGCCGGAAAGAGTCTCTGATCCTGCTCTCCCTCCATCTCCATTAGAGGGAGAGTAGACAGTTGGCTTATGTAGATGGTAGACATGTACGAGCTAGGGGGGAGGGGGGGGGGGGGGGCGGGGGGGAGAGAAGAGAGCTAGAGAGACAGATCTATAGCTAGAAAAGAACTAGCTAGCTAGCAAAGCACTGCGGCCGGGAAGATGAAAGAGATCAAGGATGATAGATGCATGCCGCATATAATAAGCTGCAGGGAGATGGAGAGGAGATCATGTGCAGTTGGAGGGGCAATTTACAAGGGCCCAGGGTGATCATGGGCCTGTCCTTTTTTATAAACAGACGCAGGATGGAGGAGCAAGATCTGCTACCAGTCTCTCTCTAGCTAGGGCCCTAGAGGAGGATTTAGAGAGGTGTCATTTGTGATCCCTTTCCTAGTGTGTGTGTGTGTGTGTGTGTGTGTGTGTGTGTGTGAGAGAGAGAGAGAGAGAGAGAGTGGCCACAGGCAGCACACCAGCACAGGAAAGGGATCGATGAGGAACCAAAGGGAAACAGTTGAACAAACACATCGCACACTGTGGTTGCAAAACATTCATTCCAGATCGAGCACACAACTATAAGATCTTATGCAACTCCACCATGTGGCCCCACCAAACTAGTACAGATGTCGTGCAATGATTATTTTACAAAATCCTTTCCATGCATGGAATTGAGAAGAACGGTATTGCACTGTATTATATTACATATTTGATTATTATGATCATGTTGCACTTGCACCATCTATGAATATTGTTGCGCTTACACGATGAGTGTTAGCAAATTGCATCCAGATATAATTCAGATTTGCACATGTTTCCCTTGGGATAAAATAGTTAGTTAAGTAATACCTTTGGACTTTGGAGTAGAATTCCTATATAATGCCAAATGGCTTTGCGTTCAAAATAATGCCAAATGACTCTCCAAATAGAAGTAGGTAAGGGTTCAAGTCACCAAAAGCGACGAACATATATATCCCATAGTGCCTTAATTGAATATATATATGTGTGTGTTCCACAAAATAAGGGTGTTTCATAACCTAGATACCTAGTTTTGCAGAAACTAGGGCACCGTAATAATTTTGCATGCCTCACGTGCCAAAATCGATCTTCTGACCAAATAAAAAAGGCGGTGCTACCCTACCCGCTCTGTCATGCTATATACTGATGACTGATTGCTTGCACATATATATCACTGCGGATTTAGTAGATTGAAGTTAGGCATAATTTGATTTCGAATCAGATCCAGAAATCAGGGCCTGATCATCAACCAACCTCAAAAGTGGTGAGAGTGAAGGCGATATATATGCTCCTTGAAATGCACGTACGGATCTTTCAGCGAAAGGAGCGCCTTCAGCTATCACCTAAGGACGAAGCATGTGCCTGGTGCTTAGAGGGAGCAAAAAGGCCTTAAACAAATAATCCCTAAGATGTAAACCTCCATGAGCTGTAATTCTTTTTTTCCTTTCTTTGGCCTAGCTAGGCCACCTGGCCGGTTAGTTTCGCTTAGACTTTGCTCTCTTTCTCTATCAATATATTGAAAGGCAGTGCCTGTTTTGCTTAAAAAGATAAATTGGCACCCAAACCGTTGGTTATCGTACAATTGGCTTCTCCACAAAAACCTATTATCTGTTTTTATAACAAATTAAACCAGGGTATTCTGATTTTATGGGGTTGCTATGGTAACTTTTGTAGATATATTGATTGATTATAAAAATGCAAAAAAAATATTTAGTACTTAAATACGGATGAAGTTGCCTGAGAATAAAATTGATCTGACATCATCATAACAATCTGGATCTTGGAGCCACATATAAAAAGGATTGAGAACTTGACTTCCAAGAAGTGAATTCCCTCGGTTTTATCCGGTAACAAGATGAATGAATCTCTCTCATTTCTTTTCATTTTACTAGACAAAGTATATACACTTGATTTAAACAGTACTACCTCTGTGTTTTTTTTGGAGTGTAACTTGCTATACTTACAACTAATTACGCTAGGTAAATCTAAATATTTTATTGGCTAGTGAAATGAAATTTCTACATTTCACAGATTTCGCTGCTTGTATGTAAGCTATGTTACCCTCGAAAGTGGTCTTCTGGGCCATGTCAAATGGCTAGCTTTGCAAACAAAATAGTGCTTTCATTGCAAAGCCAAACAAATATGAAATGGAGTTTTGCAATGTTTGACTAGGCTACAACAACTAAATACCTACAAAACTTACACTTCTAGCTTGCGGGCACTGGGGTCATGGGCGGCGCCAGGGGTATGCACCTGTATGCCATGGAATACCCATGTTTTGGGGAAAAAAAACAAATACATGTACAAATGTATAATGGTATAGCATGTTGGTATACTGGATGTTGCAAATATGTAGCTTGTTCGCTTGGTCTTAAACGATCGTAAATTTCAAGCCAGAACAGTATTTTTCTCAGACACCAAACCAGCCAGCAGTAATAATCCACGATCGTATACGATCGTTTCAGCCCCAGCCGAACAGGCTGATGGCTCACAAGCCTAATAGAACAACTAGCGGTAGCAGCCCACAAAGTCAGACTCCAGAAAAACCCATTGACATCTCCCGACGCTCTGTGCTCCCGTCACTCGCATCGAGCCATCGACCGGAAGCAGCCGGCGGCACAAACTGGCAGCACGGCAGCATCTCTCTGGCTCTCTCCCTCAGCCCCCCTCGCCTCTCCTAGCTCTGCTCAACTGCGCCTATCCGGCCCCAACGGCCGATGTCGAAGCCCGCTAGGAAAGGAGCCTGCGGCGGCCTGCAGCAGAGGAGCATCTCCCCTTCGGGCTCCGACTGATCAGCCCTCCCCTCTGTCCCCATCCCAGCTTCGGCTCGAAGAAATATGAATAAAGATTTTGTTTTCTATTTCTTTTTTTTTGCATTGTATTTGTAATTAGATGAAGAAGGGTACCAGCATATTTGCTCTTTGCTTATTACTATTGCATATTGTACTTTTCTTATTACTCATATTTGCATTGGAATTTTTTTTAACATGGAATACCCTGACGTGAAATCCTGGGGGGGTACATGCAAGTATGTGTCGCCATGGCTGCATAACGAGTTAACACGACCTACACGCCGTTAGGTTCCTACTTCCTACTGATGAAGACAACCCCACAAAGATGTTTTAATCTTATTTTATTAATGAAAAGAAACGTCGTTAGTGGATAAGATAGCCAGTGTATCAGCAATCATTGTACGTCTAGTAGGTCACCAGTACCATGACAATGGTCAATCTAGGGCTAGATAGGACCAACTCTCACATGCCATCAATGCTCTCCTGGCTCTCTTGCAATAAGGTCCTTGCACGTTCCCGTACTGTAGTATAAACGACAGATCTGTTAAACAAAAGCTGGAGCGATTCAGAGAGAGGAGGCCTGTGTAGGATCTGAGTGATTTCAGCAGCAGGATCATGGATAGGTCTCACTCAGAATAGAGAACACAGCATTGAAGTATGAGCAGGCAATGAGACACTTCCTGCGGCTTGGGACCCATGCAAGCATGGCTTTTGGATTTAGTGACAGCAGCAAACAAACAGAATAGAGTACTAGCTTTTGCCTCTACCATAGTCCACAGCTAAAGAAGCTAGTATTGTGGACTATTATTAGGAGAAGAGAAGAGGGGTTAGAGCAAGTAACCTTAGGGCGTCCTCGATGGCAACTTTTAAATAGCTAACTAGATTAGGTTTAGAAATAATAATAAAAAGAACACCATAGTGGAGAGTTATTTGAGCTGTGAGAAAGTTGTTTCTAAGAGATCATGCTAGATTAGTTATTTAGGAGTCGCTCGCTATTTGGAAACTATTAGGGACGCCCTTACCATAAGAGACCTACCAAGGAGATGTGATGGGGTATTATTAAACTTCACAGAAACCAGGATCAAGTGCGCCTTCTGTTGGCAGAGTATATTAATTGTGGAACAATAACTTGAGTGCTGAAAGAACGACGGAGCTCCTGAGGCTAACCTGCACCAGCACAAGACAGCAACCAGATGTTGTACTAATTTGATTAATTACAAGCAATTGATAAATTAAACACGCAAATAGTTTGCCTAATTCTACTGATCACATTAGTTATGGCCAACTATATATGTGCCAACAAAAACCTCACCATGAATTTGGAACAGGACAGAGTACATTTGCTTTGCTAACCGATCTACATCCCTCTGAGGCTCTGACTGTTCAACCACCAGTACCTTGCATTGCCCTTTCATCACTCAAAGAGGGCAAAGCTCATTAGCTATAACGACATCGCAGGATCTCCGTATAGCATGCAAGAAAATGGCCAAACCTGGCTTTTGTTAATCTCACAATCACACATGACCCATCCAGCCCAGCCCAGCCAGCGCTCCCTCCCTCTCTTATTGCTATGACTGGGCAGGAGACAAGCAGAAACCGCTTAAACGATGAAAGCGACGTCTGTTCCAACATGACAAGCCCACACCCTTCCATGGGTGTTCAGCCAAAATCTGGGCAACTTGTTCCTCCACACTCGTGATCCCCATTGGGGCCAAACGGCAGCGGGGACAAGCAGGCTAGCTAATGGTGCAGATTTATGCAAAAAGGAGCAGGCAGGCGGGCTGCGGGCAGCAAGGCCGCGCCACTGATGGCCTCTGACTCTCGAATTGTATAGATCATCACAGCAATACATGGCATACATACAAAAACAAAAGAGTGCAAAAGTTGAAAAGCCTGCCCGATCGACCGATCGGCCTGCAATGCCCATGCAATGCAGACAATCAGAGATCTTCAGGCAAGAGGTAGAGTGGATCTGGCAATTTAATTTCAAGCGCATCGGTATTGAGAACTATATACCTGCAGTGAGCCCTGTAAGAAGTAGGTGTAGAAGGATCCATGGTGTGTGCCAAATGCCAGCAGACTGCATACAGTTTTATTTGGAGAGGAACATTATGGTTCATCTTGTTGATGAGCACATCTCTCCAACTGACCTTTCCACCTTGCTCTGCACAATATTTGTCAGGCATGGTTCCAGAGTTCTG